CAGTATTTTACCCGTTTTCTGTAGTGGGGTTTTTTCATGAGATTTTGTTTTTTTTAAAAAAAGGATTCTGTGGCCTAAAGGGTTGAAAGTGATTGATGTAGTCATCCTCCTTCTAGTCAACCTCCTTCTTCGTAGGGGGTTGGACATTTGAGATTTGGTAACGTGAGAAGACATTGCCTTTTTGCTGGTTTGCCTGGTTAGCCAGTACCGGGACTCAAAAATCTGCTGCTGACCCAGTAGTATTTCAGGGACCCCACTGTACTGCCATTGTTTTCAGTAAATATTTCACCTCTACATCATTCTCCCAAACAACCTATCTAGATAGAATGTGAAAACCCTGGGGCTGTTGGATAGGGCCATCTGAAGTGACTGGATTTCCACACAGCTTTATGGCTCTAGTAAAGATTATGTTTTGGAAACTTGAGAAATTGTAATCAATCGGAAGTGAAGACTGGTTGCTTGATGCCAGAGAAACTAACAGAGGATAAACTAAGGATTGCCATGGCTGAGTTATTTTAGCCAAATGACTAAGGAATAACATTTAGCAGAATGTGTTTATGGCTAGTGACCTGGGTCTTCCCAAAATATCCAGTTAGCAACCAACAACTTCCTTTTCTTGATCACCGGTTCTTATCCTTTGCAAAGAGGAAGGAACGCAAATCCTGTAATGGTGTTTTTCTGGGTTTCCTGCCAGTAGAAGGCATGATTATGGGAAAATGTTTTTCCTTTGTTTTTCCCTTCTGACACACACTCCTCAGTTGTTACCCTATTACACAAGACTGGACAGAAATTCAAAATAGTTGTTTTATATTTTTCTGTAACCTTACCAATATTACTGTATTTTGCATGTATATTAAGTGTTGTTCCATATCATCTTAATATATTATTATAGCTTTTGTCTTTTAGCAAAATACATACTGAAAGATATAAAGGAGATAATACATACAAAAATATCTGTTACAGGGTCATGTTCAGTAAGAATGTATTAAATCACGGCCTGCTGGTTGACTTTTCCTAATCTGCATGTAAGGATAACAAACCTGCCTCACTGAGTTATTGTGAGGATTAAATGAGAACATGCGTGTGAAGTACTTAGAACAATGCCTAGCACTTTGAGATAGCACCCATAGAAATATGTGTCTTTATTTTAAATTATCCTGTTTAGGGGTGCCTGGGTAGCTCAGTCAGTTAAGCATCTGACTTCAGCTCAGATCATGAACTCAGAGCCCTGGGATCAAGCCCTATGTCAGACTCTCTGCTCAGTGGGAAGTCTGCTCTTCCTTCTGCTGCCTACCCTTCTCATGCTCATTCTAGCGCTCTCTCTCTCTCTCTCTCTCTCTCTCTCTCTCTCTCTCTAATAAATAAATCCTTAAAAAAAAATAAGTTATCCTGGTTAGCAATATTTCAAAAAGTTGGAGGCAAGGAATGAGAAAAGGGCATAAACTGTTATTTTTCATGTATCTTTACAGTTTTATTTTTATTTATTGTTTTTTAAAGATTTTATTTATTCATGAGAGACATAGAGAGAGAGGCAGAGACATAGGCAGAAGGAGAAGCAGGCTCCATGCAGGAAACCTGATGTGGGACTCGATCCCAGGACTCTGGGATCACAACCTGAGCCAAAGGCAGATGCTCAACCGCTGAGCTACCCAGGCATCCCATATCTTTACAGTTTTATATGCATTTTTATAGACTATTTTTTAGAGCAGTTTTAGGTACACACCAAATTTGAGTGGAAGGTACAGAGATTTCCTGGGTGCCTGGGTGGCTCAGTCATTTAAACATCTGCCTCCAGCTCAGGTCATGATTCCAGGGTCTTGGGATCAAGTCCCGCATCAGGCCCTACAGGGAGTCTGCTTCTCCCTCTACCTGCCACTCCCCCTCCTTGTACTCTCTCTCTCTCTTTCTCTCTGTCAAATAAATAAAATCTTTAAAAAAAAAAAAAAAAACATACAGAGATTTCCCATATAGTGCCTGCCCCCACATGTGTACAGTCTCCCCCACTACCACCCTCTAGCACCAGAGTGGTGCATTTGTTCTGGTCAGTAAACTTAAAATGACATTTCATTATCACCTAAAGTCCATAATTTATATTAGGGCTCACTCATGGTGTGTTGTACCTTCTGTGGGTTTGAATTTATATGCATTTATTTACATAACAATATAACATACTCGTGTGCTTACATAGTCTTCATAACTGAGAATTTTTTTATAGGCAGGCCTACTACAAGATTTTTTATTCCTTTTTTTTTTTTTTTTTAAGGAGAAGCAGGCTCCATGCAGGGAGCCTGATGTGGGACTCGATCCTGGGATTCCAGGATCATGCCCTGGGCTGAAGGCAGACACTAAACCACTGAGCCACCCAGGTGTCCCAAGATTTTTTATTCCTAAGACAAGGATCTCTTAGTGGTTTAATAGAGGAAAACTGTACTTTAAGTTGTATCTCTGTTCATGTCCTGGCTTGTAACCTCTCTGGCTCAACTTTCTCATCTCCAAAGCAAGGATAACTAAGGAGTGGCATCTAGTCTAAGAACTATGTGTAAACTTTAAAGTACATAGAAATGTTGGATGTTATTACTCCTGTGGAGAATGGTGACCTCTACTCGTTTACCCAGGTCTTTTTGCATCTTGAGAGCTTCAGTTAGTTTCTACACTGAAAAGACTTCATGGACAGGGAAACAGAGAAAATTTTCCCCGAGAAAAACCATCATAAGACCTGGGTTCATTTGTGAGACCATAGGAATTTAAAAAGATCATTTAGAATTTCACTAAAGGATAGGATTGCATGCAGTAGATAGCATTTATATTAAAATGCAAATTCTTGAGTAATGTAACACTGATAAACTTAATTTAGAGTTCCCAAAGGAAGCCTAGGGCTCTTGCCACAAGTATACAGCTGCCTGGATTTCCATAAACTTCAGCCTTGGCTGCTGAAGTGCCCCTGTTTTAACATTTCTATTGCTATTTGAGCTCTTCCCCATCTAGAGCAGTGGACTTGTGTCCAATAGTCATTTATATGTTGTTATTTCATAAATGAGACTGTCAACAGTCTACCCTTCAATATATTTCCTATTTTCCTTTGATTTGTCTTCTTTAAATTACAGTAAACTTGCAATTTAAAGAGCATCAGTAGTTTTACACTAGTCTTTATCTCTAAAATGGTAAGGACTCAATTGGCCCCTGTCTCTACAGAATAACTGATCAAGGATGCCTAGTATATTTTGTCTAGACTCTATTATTGTGTTTGTTAACTAAACAAACGTGTTTATCACCGGCTAATTCTGTAATATTTCAGATTTTATTTTTAAAGTAATTTCCCACAATGCCTTGCTTAATGCTGGCTACATTGTAGGTGGTCAGTAAAGACTTACTGATTAAGTAAAAGAAATTGAAAATTAGTGACATTATATCATTTGGTCTTACTGTTTTGTGCACCTTTTTAGAATTAGGCACAAAGAAGCTATTTTTATTATAAAAGTAATACATTCTCCAACTTTACTAAGGAGAAGCTGGCTGACCTAATGATTGATTTTTTTTTTCTTCTTAGCTTCTCAGATTTCATTTTTAGTAAAGCACAAGCTGCAGTATTGTGAGTGGATGGATGAATGAAGTATTTTATGATCATTCATAAAAACATTAAAATGTATTCATAAAAATATTAAAATGTAATTTGAATGAGTTCCTAAAGTTGTGTTTTCGTATTTACATATTCTATTATATTCTGACAGGGTACTATGTTGGAAATATAAACACTCAAATCAGTAGTAGTCCTCATTCCCAATGATGAAGGCTTGAGGGATTGTGTACACTTCAGAGAAGGCTGGATATGGGTATTGTCATGGTGCGTTACGTACAGTGGGTGCTCAATAACTATTGAGTGAATGTACACATGCTAACCTGCCTACCAGTGGGGTGTAGTTTGTTCTGAAGACTAGAACTTTAACACAGGAAGTACTGCTGAAGAGAACTTATCTGATTATGAATCAAAACACACGGGTTTTAATTCTAACTTTGTTCTTCATTTAACTTTGTAATTTTGGACAAACCATCATACTTTTCCAGGTTTTCATTGAAATTCCTCAAATGTAAAAATGAAAGAATTGAGCAAGAGAATATAGATGATCTTTAAGGTTTTTCCCTCTTATGAATGCTATACAGAATCTTAACACCTGATCTTTACTGAAGCTTTCCACATTTACAAACCCTCTCAGTTTCCTCTTTAAAAAGGCATAGCATTTAATCCCTACATCCCACTCTCCATTCATGGTTTGCACTCTGCACCCACACCTGTCTGCTCCTACCGGGTGAGTCATTGCTTTTCAAGAGCCTGTATTTATCCTAAAACTGTTTATGCTGATTTTGCTTGATGTTGTATTTACGTACTTTAATGTTATAGTGAGTAATAAAATATGAGTATAAAAAGTTATTTTTATGAGAAATACTTTAATGAAGGTGAATTTTTTTAAAAACTGCTGAATTAGATATAATATGACAAGTGGAAAAGATGAGGGAGGTGCTAAAAATGTAGGAGGATTTTGGACTCCCATTGCTTTGCAGGAACCTAAGTTTCCTTACCACTTTGAAAAAACTGAAATTGTATATTTCAGTTTCAGCTTTTGACGGTGCAGTAATGACTAAAATACAGCTAATGTTCCACATTCAAAGAAAAGGCCTTGCTATAAGAAACAGCTAACAAGTATATTTTATATGCTTCTTGTTGAAATAAAAGATTACCTCTTTTAATGGTTCTCCACTTGAAAAAATCAGCTTTTTTGATTTTTGGTTGTAGACCAAGATCACATTAGGTGAGAGGGCTTTTATTCTTCTATGATCTCCATCATGTTGTAGGCCTTTTAAAAAATAACATGGTAGTAATTGTCCAGTTTTAGATCATAACGGTACTTTTAATCTGTATGCCTTCTCTTCATATGGGATCTATGTTAAACACTCTTCTCAATATCTCATATTAAAACTGAATTTTAATTCTGTTTTCTTCATAGAACATCCAGAAGATTCTTGGTCTTGCCCCTTCACGTGCTGCCACCAAGCAGGCAGGTGGATTTCTTGGCCCTCCACCTCCTTCTGGGAAATTTTCTTGAAATCAAGAAGAACCCTGTAATACCCATCATTCTTTTTAAACATTCAAATTAGACTGGCAACTATTTTGTAGCGGGAGCCATAGACAGCCTTAGGGCTTGGGCCACTTTCTAGTTCTGAGTTATTTTTAGACTTTTTGGATATGCTTCTAATGAGAATGGCACCCAACAAACATGATAGTACTTTCAGTCACAGATTAATTAAGAAAAAATATGTTTGTTGGTTAGATAAGTTCAGGTGATGTTTATGTAATGAGAAACAAATAGCATCTTTCTTGTTTGGCTTACATGAATATTTTCTGTGGGACCGACTCGAGTGTGTGCTATGTGCCATGTACCATGGAAGTTGGCTCTACATGAGCATTTAGAGTTCTGGAAGAAAAATTCAGTTTGTGATATCTTAATTGGAACTATTTGTTGTACATTGTTTCCAAGCCAAATATATGACCGAAGATGAATAAAGAAGCCAAAATTTTAGCTATTTCATCTACAAGGTGAGATCTGTTTTGTACCATATTCCTAGATACATGTTTTTAGTAATCTGAACATAAACATTGGCCACAAAGGGCTAAACTAAAAGTTTTAAATGTACTATTTTATCATACTTGCCTTATAAGCTCAAAATATAGACTTGTCCTATTGTAAGAAGTAGAAAGCATGAGAGGAAAGGAAAGAAGTAACTCACGTGAGTGTAAAAATGAGAGTCCTCAGTCCCTTTTATACCCTGCTGGATTCCTGGGAAGTCACTCTTAGTCATCTCCCGGAGGCAAGGCTATAGGTATGCAGTCTTGCAGAGCTTCCTTTTGATCACAATGGCCTTTAGTTCCTGCCATGCTCCTTCATAAAAAATGAGAGGATGCTTTTACCGTGATCTTCCCCTGCCTGATCCATGAAATTGGAAATCTTGTATGGAGTGATACTCTAGTAACAAATACATACTCCTTAGATGCATGTATTCAACCAGTGAGAGAGGTCATGTCATTTGCAAAGTAACAACTGCTAAACTGATAGCAAACTTCTGAATGGCATAAAATCCAGAAGACAGCGGAATAATACCTTCAGTGCTGAGGAAAATAATTATCAGCCTAGAATTCTATGTACTGCTAAACCATAAGTTTGGGGGTAAAACTGGGAGGCAGTATTTTCAGAGCTACAAAATCCAAGGTAGCTGAATTATTAAAGGATATGATTCCAGGGTGCCTGGCTCGCTTAGTCAGTAGAGCATGCAGCTTTTGATCTCAGGGTTATGAGTTCAAGCCCCATGATAGGCATAGAACTTACATATTAAAAAAAGAAATATATATGTGTTGCCAGGACAGAAAAAGAATACCAGGAGGAAGGTGTGGGATATAAGAAACAATGGTCAACACAAATTGATAAACTGTATGGATAAATTTGTTTTATGGGTTATCTAGTTAATTATTTTGAGAAAACTCCATAAGGTAATGACTGTTCTTACCCTCATTTAAAAGATGAAACTGAGACAAGAGAGGTTAAGTAACTTCCTCACTATCACTTAGCTAGTGAGTGGCAGAGTCAGGATTTGAAGTGAAGCCATCTAAAGTTACATAGTCCGGGCTCGTCAGTACTTCCCCGTAGGTATGTGCTGATTCTCTTCCCACCGCTCCTATCTCTTCAGGTCAAGAATGTGAGCCCTGAAGTTGGGTTTTTTTCTGTTTTTCGTTTTTTTCTTAAAGCAGTCACATGGGTGAGAACACAGCAAAAACTCCATAAAAGCAGATGAAATGGAACAGAAATCTTTATTTCTAGGTTACTTTTATCAGACAGGGTGTTTGATGATGGATGGTGATGATTTCTAATGGTCTTTTCCCCATGTCATTGACCATTCTGGGCAAAATAATAGCTAAAACAATGATCGTGACGAAAATAATGATCATGATAACATGATGACAAAAGTGATGGACCATCTAAAATAACGCCTAAAAAGAGAAGGAACCACACTGAAAATTCTGCCAATGTCTTTGTAAAGTGAGAATACATGGTCCATCCTACTGGCTACCTCCTTAGGTTTTGATGATAGTACTTTCTAATTAAATGTCTCATGGACTAGGTTACCTTTTTTTTTTTTTTAACATTTCATTTATTTATTCGTGAGAGACACAGAGAGAGTCAGAGACACAGGCAGAGGGAGAAGCAGGATCCTCGTGGGGAGCCCGATGCGGGACTCGATCCCCAGACCCAGGATCACGCCCTGAGCCGAAGGCAGATGCTCAACCACTGAGCCACCCAGGTGTCCCATGGACTAGGTTTTCATAAAGTGTATTTCAATAGAAGAAGGTGAGGAAGAGGGAGAGTAAAAGGGAAGAAGGAGAGAACAGCTATTCACCCTGTTTCTAAAAGAGCACAATAGATGTGTTACAAAAGAATAAAGCTACCACATCACAAGAAAGTGAATTCAAGGATATATTAAGGGCTATTGCAACCCCATAATTAGTTTTTTTTTTTAATTACTTACCCTGAAAAATTTTCAAGACTAGTCATTTGAATGACTAGATCCAGACCATCTAGTTTAAGGGGGAAAAAAAACAGCATTTTTAATGCCTGCATTAGCCTACTCAGGTTGCACTCATAATATGCTGAAGCAGTAAACATTCAAAAAAATGCAAGTAAATCTGAATTTATTAACAGATAACATTTCAAAATCTCAGTCAGTCTGGAAATTGGAAAGGAAATGGGTGTAGTTACTCATAGGCCCTTAACTAGACTGTGGTCCCTGATTTCCCATATAAGTCATCCTCTTCGGTGGGATCCGGGACTTACAGTGACATCAGTGGGTTGATGAACATCCAGAATTCCCGTACATCCAAATCAAAATCACTTTGCCACGTACTGATAGGTACTAGGGGTTATCTGGTATACCTACACCTTTGTGTATTTCAGTACTGCCCTTCAGTACAAGTAAAAGTGCCATATACTGTTTTTTTTTTTTGCTTTAATTCTGATTAAGTTACAGTCTTTTAATTTACGTTTATCTCTGAGTTTTTACACTTTTTAAAATGGAAAAAAAATCTGAAAAAGTCTTAAAGTATAAAAAACATTGAGATACCCATTATTCAACTTCAACAAGGACTAACTCGTGGCCAATCTTAGATCTACCCCAGCCGGCCTCCTATAGTGTTTTTGAAGCAAATCCTAGGCATCCCATCTTTTATCCCTAAATATCTCAATGCTTTTAAATATGTTTATGTGTGTGTATAATCTTTTTTTTAAGATCTATTTTTATTTTTTTTTAATTTATTCATGAGAGACACAGCAAGAAAGAGAGAGGCAGAGACACAGGCAGAGGGAGAAGCAGGCTCCATGCAGGGAGCCCGATGTGGGACTCTATCCCGGGTCTCCAGGATCACACCCCGGGCTGCAGGTGGCACTAAACCTCTGCGCCACCAGGGCTGCCCTGTTTATGTGTGTGTATAATCTTAACATCATTTACATAACCTAAAAAATTAATAATTTCTTGATTCCATAAGTTGTCTAAAGATATCAAAATTCATTACAATCTTTTTTGAATCAAGAGCCAAATAAGGGATCCCTGGGTGGCGCAGCGGTTTAGCGCCTGCCTTTGGCCCAGGGCGCGATCCTGGAGACCCGGGATCGAATCCCATGTCAGGCTCCCAGTGCATGGGCCTGCTTCTCCCTCTGCCTATGTCTCTGCCTCTCTCTCTCTCTCTCTCTGTGTGACTATCATAAACAATTTAAAAAAATTAAAAAAAAAGAGCCAAATAAGACCATATTACATATGGCTGATAAGCATTATAAATCTCTTCCAGTCTCTTGTAGTGGTTTTCAAACTAGAGTGCATCAGGATCCCCTACAAGGCTTATTAAAACAGACTGCTGGGATCCCCCCCAGAGTTTCTTTTTTTTTTCTTTTTTAAGAATTTATTTATTTTATTCATAGAGACAGAGAGAGAGAGGCAGAGACACAGGCAGAGGGAGAAGCAGGCTCCATACAGAGAGCCTGATGTGGGACTCGATCCCGGGTCTCCAGGATCACGCCTTGGGCTGCAGGCGGCGCTAAACCGCTGAGCCACCGGAGCTGCCCCCCCCCCCCCCCCCCCGAGTTTCTAAGTCTGGGGAGGCACTTGAGAATTTGCACTTCTAACAAGTACAAGGTGATGCTGATGCTGTAGGGTTTGGAGTCCTCTCAGATTTTAGTTCCTCACTGTTTATTTCACTTCTCCCCTTGCAATTTATTTATTGAAAAAACTGAGCTGTTTATCCTGTAGAGTTTCCCTTAGTTCGGGTCTTGCTGATTGCATACCTGTTTTTACTTAACTGTTTATTAGTTGTCTCTTTTTGTGATGTTAGTAGCTTTTTCCTTCTTTATTTTATTTTATTTAAATTCAACTTGCCAGATGTTAGCAGCTTTTTGATCCATTAATTAGTTGAGATTAAAAAATGATGTTCTAATTTCTTGTATCTCTTCAGTTTATTAAAATCCTTTATAGATAGACACTTCCCCTCCATCTACTTTTGGTTACAGAATGGTAAATTTTTGGGGGGGAAAGCCAGAATAAAAGTTGGATTGTCTGGTCTTCAAAATAATCAGTTGTTCACTAGTATCCTCCTGTGGTGAACAATTTTTGTGTGAGTGTGTGTGATCAGCAGTTGATTCACTTCAAGTCACTGAAATTATTTTTCTTGTGGATACTGAAATTCTACCATTTTTAGCCAATGAGAGGCTTTTGAAGTTGGCTCCTGGGTCCATTTGGCATGACTCTAGTTGTCATTGGGAGCGTCCTTATTGAGTGATACGACCAGATGTTTCAGAACCATCTTAAATTTCCTGCCTGACTTGAAAGCAACACGTTCTCCAAGGAGGCCTAGTTCTTTTTACTGGAAAATGGTATTTGGACACTGTAATCAGAGCACTGAGGATGTTCCCTGAGACTGGATTGCTAGGTTTCTAGGCCTTTTTTGTGGACTAAGATAGGCAGTACGTTTTTTGTTGTCATTTTAAGATAAATTACATTATGAATTTATACTGATACCCTACTCCCTACTTAAACTTAGGACCTCAAAATTTTTACTTAATTTCTTTAATCCATATCTCTTTTATCCCATCCTAAGAATTCCAGTTTCCACTACCAGAAGTGATAGAATTACAATATCACATAATTCACTAACATAATCCCGTTAATATCTACCCAGAAGTCTCAGAATGTAATTACCATTATTGTTGCCAACAGTATGATTACTAGAAATAGTTTAAGTTTGGTGGGTTGGTTTTTTTGGTGGGTTTTTTGTTGTTTTTGTTTGTTTGTTTTGGTAAGGGTGGAATTCTTTAAGATATATCTCACTCTGACTTCATAGAAAATCACTGAGATTTCAAGTTACCTGGAATCGTTTCTTTGAGTTTATTCATTTGTTTGACTTTATTTTCAACTTTTAGGACATGCTCTTTAATTTTGCCTTATAAAAATGATATATAATGTTTTACTAGGTTTCTGGGCTAGCCCAAAAAAG